ATTTCCGGAGCCATATTTTAAGAAGAGAGAGACCCAAGTCATGTCATATTTAGAACACCACAGAAACTAAACACATTTATCCTGAGGAAGATGTAGGAGAAAAATGATATCTTTCTTTATATCTGAGTGAACAACACCCTCCTAGAAAAGGGATTGGATTTGAGTTTGGTGTGGTCTCAATATTAGATCTGGGACCTATGAATTCAAGTTATTTATAAGGAGATATCTTTGCATTGAATCATTTATAGTAAAAGCTGTTCCAAGATGAAAGGGTCCCCAAAGTCTGCAGAAGCAAAACACTGGGCAATTAAACCTCAGAGCCCTCATTTTGGGGCTAACAGTATGGCAGCGGGGCAATCTGGGAATTCAGTGAGGTGCTGTAAGTAAAGCCCTCAGCATAGTGCTGGGCAAATGGCAAGTGGTTACATAGCTTGCCCGGATTGTTACCCTTCTTATATGGGAGGTGTTGATGCAAGTTTTGAATCACCAATGTTTTGGGTTAAAGCAGAGAAACTCAGTGGATGGGTCTGATAAACTAGATGGTGGTTACTTCTACACGCGAACTGGGTATAACTGACTAATTCAAATTGGTTAAAAAAGACTCTGGAACCAGTCGATTTTCTATGTGACCTTAAATAATGTAACCTTTTGGTTTTCAATTCTCTTGATTCTGTTTCGTTACCTTTAAAATGGAGATAGTAAAAAACCTGCCTTGGGTTGTTGATAGGATTTTTTTAAATGGAGATATATATATATATATACATATACCTATATTAGAACAATGCTTGACATGCTGATGTCGATTCATGCTGATTTATTTTCAATAAATGTGAGCACTTACAATGTTGAAGTAGTTGATAAAGGATTATTGTAGGACATAGGACTTGAGATAATGCTTTGAAAAATACTAAAAACTTAGTTAAGTGAAAGGCAGTAGCAAGGTTATTCCCATATGGAAAGAGCTTAAATAAAACATGGAGATGGAATTAAGCATTGTGTGATCATCAGATAGTGAGGGTACTGCACCAATTAGATGAAGTTGGCTGTTGGTGACTAATTAGAAATACGATTGGATGGAAGGAGTGAGGAAAAAACCTCAGAAGACCTTCAGTTGAAGATGGTAAGCTAAGAGCAGCCCACATGCTTTCAGGTAGGGATGAAACATACATGTGATATTTTAAAATAACCTTATGAGGTTTTCAGAATAAATTGCCTCCCTTATGCTTAAAAAATTATAGATGGAATAGTTGAATCTTTTATGCAAATCCTTCTTTAACCTCGAAATAGAAATTCTATTTCAGGACAAGTTCTATTTCAGAAAGTCCAAAACTCTTTTTTCCTTCATGAAGTTTTCCCTTTGGATTCCTATCACTGTGGTTTTCTTTTTTGTTTGAAATCTTTAGCATTCGAAATGATGCTCTTTACATTTGTATTACCCATCATCATCTTTTGAGAGTGAGTTTGAATTCAAGATATGGTGCCAGATCACTTTGTGTTAAGTCTCTGAAAAGGGTGTCATTCAAAATGCTTAAAGTGGTTTGACTTTAAAATGAGACCTATCAAATTAATGAAACTGATATTCTTCGGTTGGGGGGAGCTTGTAAGTTGGTTCTGGGAAAACAAGTCCCACAGAGAAGGTCCCCAAATAGGTTATACCACAGCTTACTGGATTAAGGGATAAGTTCTCAAAGCAACTCATAAAAGAGACAACACTTCATTCACTCCATTAAGATTCAGTACTTAAGTAAAAAAAAAATCATCATTTATAGTGTTTCAAACACTATTTAGTATACTGAAATTGTTTTTGTTGTTTCATACATACAAGCTCCTTGAGAAAAAGGGTCACAATTTTGTTTTCTTGGTGTAACTTGTAGGGCTGCTGTGGGTCTTGGGTTCATGCTTTATTGAATTAGATTTAAGTTAGGAGGATATAGGCAACAGGAGAATTATAAAACTGTTTCTCCAGTGAGGATGTCAGTGTAGGCACTCTGACTGTTCATTTCCCTGCCTGAGTCAGCAGTTTTTTTTTTTGTTGTTGCCGGTGGTGGTGGCCCCCAGCAGAAGTGTGGCAGAGGTTGACATTTCAGAGGAACAGGTGATGGCTGAGAGTCTAGTGGGCTTGGTTGCATTTCCCCCCTTGGTGGCTTCTCAGCTATTGTGTGACTTTTTGGAACTTTGAATTATGCTCCTCGTCCCATCTCATATGAGAATGGTAAGGAATTCTGCTTTTTAATAATCTCACACACTTTGTGTGCTCAAAGGAATAGCACACAGCCTATCCCAGGGACACAGATTTGACCACGTTTGAAACCCTGAGAGAATGAAAGCTGGACAGTGACTTGCTCCTCTCTATCTTCCTTCCAAAGTGTTTTTTCTTGTCTTATGAGGGAGTTGAAGGCTTTTCTACAGCTGCTGCTGGTTTTGCCAGTTCATTCCTTCAAGCTATGCCAATGACCATGTACAAACTTCTCTAATCCTCGGAGGGCTGGAGAAAGAGATTGGGGTGGGAAGGGCATGGGGAATTCGCTTTGGGAGAAGGCTTTCTTTTCACAAATTAGAAATTCCATCATATATATTCCTATTCCCCTAAATAACTGGCAAGGGGATCATCAGGATGAGCTATTGCAAAGAGCCACCACCAGCATCACAGTTTCAGTGTGATGGGGACCTAGACCTGAATTGCAAAGTAGTTTCGAGAATCTTGGGATATACAACATGGTACAGAACACCAAAGAAGATTTAATCTTATTTGTAGAAAGGTGGGTGGTAGGGGAGGGGGCAGCAGGCGAGAGTGGCTTGGGATCATCATTAATCAGTGTTTTAAGTACCAACAAAGTGAAAACATTCTTCCGGAATTCACTGCAAGTGACACTGAATCCTTCTACTAAGCAAATATGTGATGAGTTGATTAAAAAAAAAAAGGAAGGTCCTGAACTCTTGACTATAGATACAATACAGTGAATACAGAAAATCAAAAACATACTTTCTATCTGACTCAAAATAAAGGTGCACTTAAACTTGTAAAAGACAACATTTTTATTTGAATGATATGACAGACTGTCACAGGAGTGTTACCTGCTATAAAGAAAGCCAAAGAATTATTACCTTTATTAGACCAGTGACACTGAGCTTTAGCCATACATTTCTAACTTCTGTCCCTCTACAGAGACAATTTTCTTTTCTTAAATAAACTGTCATGCTAGTGTTAATATATTGTTGGCTCTCTCATGCTCTGAGAATACTGCTGATATAAAACATGTATATGTTAGATTGGTAATAGTATCTTTAGTGTAGCTGACTAGAACAAATGTGTTTCCCTCATGGCTGTGCTAATGTGATAAAGGAAAATTGGCTGTTCATCAGCTTTTGGCTGGGTAAAGACAGTAGAGATGGAACCACATTCTTTTTTATGCATTAATACCATCGAGAACTTTTCACTAGTTATATTTCATGTGCCTGCATGTTGCGCGAAGATGTTGTAAAACATGAGATAATGCTACAAATAACAAAGTAGAAAAGCCTGTATCTTTTATAATGATAACAGTCAAACACCAAATGACAGTAACAGGCTGTAAAAAATGGGAAGGGGAAAAAAATGCAGCAGAGAGGTGTATATCCAGGTCCATGAGAAGGTTGGGTGTGATTTTAGGTCTTTATGTTAAAGCTTTATTTTACTTAATTGTAAAATTAAGTACAATAAATACAATTAAGTAAAATAAAGCACTGGTCACTGGATTTAGGAAACAACATGGTTTTTAATGAACCAGGTTGGATAGAAAGGAGAAAATCTATATTGAATAAGTTTTTGAAGAACTGATACTGCCAAGTAATTAGGATATTAACTTCTAGGTTTGTGTGTGTATGTGCACTTTTTTTTTTCTTTCTTTTTTGAGAGAGGGTGCTTTGAATTTGTTCTTAAGGCAGTCACTTACGTGATTTAAAGATGCTGGAAGGTGATTGTTTATTTTCATCAGTTTTTGCCAGTGTTGTAACAGAATTGCATTTTGAATGCTGTGACTTGATGCTGTTTTAATTAAAATGTTAGCATCTAACCTTTCAACTGTGAGGCATTAAATTTCTCTCTCAGTGAAGTAATATGAATAAAAGTTTGAAATGGTGGCTCAGGGATCACCACAAACAAAAATTTCATAACTTTTTCGGTGTAATCCAGGGGTGGTCAAACTGCAGCTCACAGGACAAATCTGGCTGGCCACCTGTTATTGTAAAAGTTTTGCTGGAACACATCCATGTCCATTCACACATGTATTGTCTCTGGCTGCTTTCCTATTGTAGCTCAGTTGAGCAGTTGTGACCTGGACCATTTGGACCACAAAACCAAATCATTTGGCGTACAAGTAAAAATACTTACCCTCTGGCTGTTGACAGAAAAGAAGTTTGTTGACCCCTGCTGTAGAGAGTTGTTAGGTTGCCTGATGAGCCTAGAGTATGACTGGCAAATTTTTGTTATTCTGAATTGGAGAAAAACAACTGATAATTGACAACTAGATAACCAACACCTAAGAACATGAATGTTTACAAGGCGTCTTTTGTACTAGCAACCTAAATTGAATTATGTCTATGTGTAATACATTGTTGGTATATCTTGGTTTCAATACTTCTCATTTTGCATTCATTTCTGTTTCTTTCCAACTATGATGGGAACAAATTTAATGAGTATCTAAAGAAACAACGTATCTCAAAAAAAAAAAAAACAGAAAAGGCATGGCAATCAGAGCTATTGAATATATGGGACACACAATTATGCATACCTGTGCATACCCTGGTAGATATTACCTCAGCATAGAACTATAATGTATAGGTTTATACCTAGATGTACAAACACACAGATTTATCATTGAGCCATTACAATAAATTTTCAGTCTTTACAGCTGAAGAAAGTAGAGAAGCAGGAAGTGAACTTGAGAAAGACTGCTGAAATGTAGTTATTGTCAAATAAATGTTTATGCAATTAAAATCATAACGGCAGTTATTTCTTACAGGTACATCAGACAAAAATCAGTTTCTTCATCAATGGTTTGGAAGAGGATTATACAGCTTTTGATACAAGAATGCTAAGTGGTTCAGTTATGGATGTTGCCTCTGGTGCTATGCAAATAGGACAGAGTTTAAATGGTAAGGTTCTGACTTCAGAAAATTATATTATCTGATTACATTGTTCCTAAAAATGTGTCAAAAATCACATTTTGAAATACCAAGGTGTATTGGTTTCCTAGGGCTGCCATGTAACAAATTAACACCAACTGGGTGGGCAGCTTAATAAAGCCAATTTCATCTTCCCACTGTTCTGGAGGCTAGAAGTCTGAAATTGGGGATTCACGGTATTGGTTTCTTCTGGGTGTTCTGAGGGAGGATCCATTCCATGCCTCTCTTTCTGGTGGCTTCTGACATTACTTAGCATTCCTTGGCTTGTAGCTGCATAACTTTAATCTTTGCTGCCATCCTCCCCTTCTTTTCTCTTCTCTTTGAAGGACACTTGTGGTCAGATTTAGGGCCCAACCTAATCCAGTATTGTCTAGTCTCAAGACCCTTCATTACACCTGCAAAGAGTCTTTTTCCAAATCAGGTCCCAGTTGCAGGTTCCAGGTGGACTTACCTTTTGGAGGCCATCATTCAACTCACGATACAAGGGAAACTTTCGAATTAGAATGTGTTGATTATGATCAATTTTTAAAGTAAAAACATGAAATAAACTATATTGTCTCTTTTTTTTTCCTTTTGAGATTTTATTATAGGGTTATTGTTAAAGTAGGACTTAAGAGTATTAGAAATTGAAAAATAATATTCAACATGTAATAAACTGGATTTGTGATATTCATGTCTTCCCACCCTAAAAGTGGGCCACATAATTATAAGAAGATAATATGTATCACATTCTGAAAAGAACAGAAGTTGAATTTAGAATTATCTTGGAATAACATACACAGTCATCTATAAAATTGCCTACATGTTAAAATGGAAATATGAGTTATTTCATATTATTCAATAATAAATTCTCATTATAAAAAATCCACATAACACAGGACTCTATGAAATAGAAAACATTTTACATTTTTCTGCATTCATAGATATAGTTAACTTTTTTATACCCTTCCACAGTTTTTGTACATATAGCTAGAGATGTGGTTATAAATAAAATAATTTTCCCAAAATGAAATTATTATATATGCTTTTTCTGAGCCCTCTTAAAAAAATAAACACTTCCCCTCCAAATGTTATGAGAAACATGTCTTGTTAATATGCTTTCTCATTTAAAATGGCTGTATTGTGCTCAGTTGTGCAGTGGTAACAAAATCTTTTTAAACAAGATCATATTAATGAACATTTAAATTATCTCTAATAATTCCATATTAGTAGTTATTGATGGAAAACACTATATTTGTGTTTATATATTATATCTGCCTATCATGCATATACACACATATATACACACAACATATACATGCATTTGGGCAATTGTCTGTGGAGTTCCTTAAGACCCTATATTTTGGGGTCATTTTGCCTGAGTTCAAACCCCATCTCCCTAATTTGCTAGCCACATGACCTGAAACAACATTTTAATGTCTCTAAACTATAGTTACCGCCAATGAAAAATGATGATGGTATTAGTGTTCCATTGTGAAGATCAAATGAAGCTATGTCGTAACAAAGACTATTCTTTTTCCAGCATTTGGTACATAGCAGTTGCTCAATATTTGTTGAATGAACAAATAACCATGCCTTGTGTATACTAAGCCATATTGATACATACTACTATTATTAATATTATCACAATTATTTTCCTAATATAAATTCATAGAAGTTAAGTAGCTAGGTTGAAATATATAGTCATTTTATATTTTAACACATATTACAATGGTTACCCTAAAGCCTAACTACAGAATACCTCCAGAAAGGCTGTGAAAAATTACAATCTTATTTAAAAATACAGGTAAATACTTCCTTAAACATGGACCTTACAAATTATCTATTTATTTTTCACTTTTGTCATTCCTTTCCTTGAAAAGTGTTGTTGGATCCTGCCTTAGAATTATTTGACCATTAGTGATTTTGAGTAGCTTTCCACGTATTTCTTGATAATTTGAATTTCATTTGTGAATTCCTTTTTCATGCTGTGTATCCATATTTACACTCTGGAATTTCTTATTTATTTGTAAAAGCTCAGTAGGGTTAATAATATGTTACATGCTTTCTCCAATATTTTGATAGTCTTATAACTTTGGATTATAAAAATTCTAGATTATTTTAGATTTGTAATACATACAAAACATGCATGCAACATAATGCATAAATATTAAGGGATATAGATTTATGAATTTTTAATATGTATATATACCTGTATAATTCTCATCCAGAAAAAGTTATCAAACATTTCCTGTATTTCAGACTCCTAGTGAATACCACCTCTAAAGGTAAACCCAGATTAGTGTTAGTCTAGACTTCTATCAGCATAGATTAATGTTGCCTTTTCTTGTGCAAATTAAATCATGTGCAGATTAAATCATGCAGTAGGTACTCTTGTATCTGATTCCTTTTCTAAGCACTACGCCTGTAAGAGTCATCTATATTGTGTGTTGCTATTTCTTTAAGCTTTAAGAAATACTTTTTCAAAGTGGGTGTTCTAACCAACAGTAGTTGAGAATTTCAGGTGTTCTGTGTCCTTATCAACACTTAGCCTTGCCGTAGGTTATCGTTCTTTGCCATTTTGGTGGGTGTGTGGTGCATTTCCTGATGATTGATGATGTTGAGAACGTTTTCACATGCTTATTAGTCATGTGGCTGTGCTCTTTTGTGAAGCACCTATTTAAGTTTCTGCCAATTTTTAATTGGATAGTTTGTCTTTTAATTATTTATAGGAGTTATTCAGTATTTTGAATATGAGTTCTTTGACAGATTCATGGACTTCATATACTTTGATTTTCCTTCAGTCAATAGAAGTTCTCAATTTTAGTGAAGTCCAATTTACTAATTTTTCTTTTAAACTTAATACTTTTATGTCCTGTTTAAGGTAGCTTTGCAAACCCTGATACATGAAGGTGTCCCCCCAAATGTCGTTTTAAAAGTACTATTTTATCTCCCAAATTTAGATCTGTGTTGTATCTGGGATTGATTTTTGGGGTATGTTATGAAATTGGAGTCAGGATTCTTTTTCCCACCTGAGTATCTAATTGACCCAGAAACATTTTCGTCACTTCTCCACTACTTTGCAGTAGGAGCTTTGCTACAAATTATGTCTGTTATATAAGGATGGGTTTGTTCCTGATCTCACTATTTTGTTTCAATGATCTGTTTTCCCATACTTGAGTTAAAACATATAGTTTTCATTATTGTAGCTTCATTAAAGTCTTAATATCTAGAAGTATTTAATTTCTCCAACTTTTTTTTCCTTTAAGGTTTTTTTGGCTACTAATTTTAGAAGCACTTTTTCAGTTTGCACAAAAATTTTGTTGGAATTTAAATCCTTAGCTCAATTTTGGAAGAAAAGGCATCTATAGAACATCAGGTCTTCGAACCCAGGAACATAATCTATTCCTTCATTTCTCCCATGAATGTTTTATTTTCCTGTATAGAGGTCCCATTTATATTTGTAAGACTTAGTCCTATGTATTTGTTAGTCCTTTTATTCATGCAGTTATGCTTAATATTGCGTTTTGAACTTTAATTTTGTTTCTTTAATTTTGTTTCTATTATATAAAAATACCATCAGTTTTTTTGTTGACCTTACATCCAATGACCTTGCTAAATTTGAATTCTAATAGTTACACAATCGTATCATTTATACATAGTAGGCATTCAGATCTTTTCAGATGTTTGCAATACACGTATATGTGGGCATGGCTTTGGAGTTGTCACATGGGTATTTATAGGTATTGTTATTGATTCTGAAATAATGCAAAAATTTAATTTTCCCCCATGACCTGAGTTATCTAGTTATCTAGTTTAAAGGAACAAAGTATATATTTTTTAATATTCAACATACATTAAAAAATGCTGTGGTTAAATTTCCAAGTTCTGGTACCAAACAAATTTAGGGTTGAATTTAATCCAGTTGTGTACCTTTGATCTAATATGTACCCTTTTGAGTCTCAGGTTTCTAGTCTATTAAATGATGTTTTAATAAACGATAGGAATATTATAAGAATTATATGAGATAGTGTATGTGTAGAATATACTTCTGGTTATAGAGTTAATGCTAGTAAGTGGCACTATTATTAATCTCTTGAGCATCTATTATTTTTATTGTGAAGCAGATATTAAGAATAACTTTCCATAGAATTGTTGAGAGATCCAAAGAAAAATGTCTATAAATGACTCTATTGTTTTAATTTGTATATGCTTGCAGATGCAAATATAACTTGTAGAAATATTACTTCTAAACTTATGTGAAGAAGTAACATTTTAAGAAACCTATATATTTAGAAACTTGGTTTGACTAATTAGTATATTGAAGAATTTTATAAAGTACTCTGCAGAAATTCTTAATAACACATTAAATCTTGTGAGCTTTATTTCAATATTTAATTCCCATTAGTACTTCTGAAAGTGTTTTACTGCACCAAATGTTGCTCAAAGTGTTGAATAGTGCCATAAATTTGTCTGCTATGCACTGTGAGGTTGAAAAGACTTGCTTCTATTTTAGTGTACTAAATGTTAAATTAATGCCTTCAAAGGACAGTGTGGACTGAGTATGATATTTGTTTTTAAACTGTGTAAAAATAAATGTAACTTCTGATTAGATATCATTAGAAAAGTGTTTATTTCCAGTGTTAGTTTTTATTACAAATGTTCTCAAGTTCTGAGCATGGAAGAGCTCCAGGAGGAAAGGGTAGTTAAAAATAAGTTTTATCTTTTTTCTATCAATTTATAGGTACAGTTGTACCTACTGTATCTTTTCTCTAATTAGAGATGGCAGATAGACTGGCTCATTACTTCTGCCTAATGAGCCAGGCTCCCTGCCACCTCTCTAATCAGAAAAGAGATAGGTACAGAATGTTCCCATGGACTTATTATAAATCATTTTCTTTCTCTTGCTTGCTCCTTTTTTTTAATCAAAAAATTAAGTCGCTGTCCTCCATACTTTTGTCCACATCCAAGATGGTTTCATTCAGGAGAGG